AAACACTAGGACCAGTTTATTCAAGACTACCCTAGGGTTTTGGCTACTATCCGATAACCGTGTAGGGCTTGTGCACGCGGGGGATGCCAACGGTGCATGGCGGAGGGCCCTCAAGGCCACAAGCCGCTCAGGCGTGCATGGGCGTCGGCGATACTTTCCTGGCAGCATTCGGGTCGTTATCCAACCATCTCCGAGTCGGAGGTTACTCAGGAGCTGACCTAAGCAATGGATGATGCTAAGGAGCCCTAATGCCCAAAAGTGCATGCTGAGAGTGTCCCCATCGCGCCTGAGCACAGTGCAGCTCGGGTTCATTCGCGCTGGTGGCGGGGAGATCTGTGCCTGTGGCTTTGCGCAGCTTCTTGCGCGGGCCCGTTGACCAGTGTAGTCTAGGGGCCCGAGGGCGCAGAAAAATTGATGATTTGGTGGAAACAGTGGAGTGGAGAGAATGCTGTTGCCTTGGGCATCGACGTTCTCTACAAAAGGGTCGTTGTGCTTTGCCTTACTCGTAACGGCAGCAGGGAAACTTATCCAGGCTTCAGGGAGAAGACGACCTACTTTACTCCCAACCCTCACGTCTGCACGGGGACCGGACCTGGTCGTCTTCATGCTCATCGTTGTCCCCGTGCCCCTGGACTTGGGACCAGGGCGGCACGGCTGAAATGGTTTTTGTTTCGGAGGCAGTTCACACACGCACATGATGGTATGCAAAACCGTCGGGCTACATTCTGAGACGCAGTCCTGAGCTGGATCCACGCTTCGGTGCTGGGCCATCTTTCGGACCAGAGGCTGGCTCTGGCTCATCCTCCTCACTGGTGTCTTCCACAGCTGGCTCCCCGCGTGAGCAGTGTGCCCCTGTTGCGGGTGCCGGTGCCTGAGGGAGTTCACTGCGAACTCCTCCATCCTGCATGCCCTGGCGATATCTGCGAAACCAGGCCTGCAGTGAAAGCTGGGCTGCAGAGTCCAGTAACGGCCACACCACAAAAAGACTTTCCTGGTAGAAACCCAGGCATGCCGTGGAAGCCACTTCCGCCGCCAGCAGTGGGCTGTCCTCACTGACAAGGTTGTCGCGGAATCTCTGAGCCAGCAGGATCTGGTACTGCTGCTCCAAGATGTGCTTGGGAGGATCGCCGGCTCGCCCGGCCTCCAGAAGCCAATCCATGTCGTTCGGCAAGATCGGAGTGGCCAGCCAGGATTCCAGTATATCGAGGTCCTGTCGGAGGTGCGCTGCCAAAGGAGGTTCCAGCTGTGGGCAGGTGATGTACCGGAGCTGGCGATAGTCCACAGCACTTGTGTGTGCTCTTCGCCTGAACCATCCAAGCTTCTGAGTGATCTGCCGATCCGGGAGATCTTGTCGTCGCAGCTGGCGGGACAGGTATGTGTAGCACAACAAGAAAACGACCTGTTTGCGGAAATGTTCCAGGCGGTCAGCCCTGCGAGCCACCTTGTCCCGTTCTTGCTCCGCTCGTCTGGCCTCTTGTTCCTCCGGGTCGCTGGGCATCTCCACAGGACTGAAGCTAGAAGCAGAAGAAGCAGCAGAGCTTTCCGACGTTTGAACAGGCGACCGGGGCATGTAACGACCATGTGCGCGGGTGGACTACCTGTCGAGGGGGCGCCTGTGCCGAGACGCTTACATACATACATATATATATATGTATATATGCATGCATGCATGCGTGTATGTGTATGTGTATGTGTAATGTGTAGGTGTAATGTGTAGGTGTAGGTGTAGGTTTATATGTATATGTATATGTATATGTCTATGTCTATGTCTATGTCTATGTCTATGTATATGTGTATGTACAGGTACGTGTACATGCATATGTATATGTCTACTGTATATGTACATGATATATGCATATGCCTATGTATATGCATACTGCATAGCGTGTAACGTATAATGTATACTGAGTATAAAGCATGATGCATATAGTGGACGGACGGACGGACGGACGGAGGGATGGATGGATGGATGGGTATAACTATAAACATACATACATAAATACATACATGCATGCATGCATGCCTACATGCATACATGCATACGGATACATCTGTTGATTTAAAAACTGAAAAATGACTCTTACGAACAGCCCAGTCTGAACCTCGCCAACCCCAGTCCTGTCGCCCCAGGACAGCACCCGGCCTTCGCCTCCGTGCGAGAGGTGGAGAGCCCCAGATCCTCATGCTTGGGTTTATGCTTTAGGCTTCATGCTAGGGTGTAGGGTTGAGTGAGTGTGTATTTAGGGTTTAGTTAGGGTTCCTTGTTAGGGTTTGTGGTGTGGTTTCCGGCTTGTGAGGGTCAGGGCTTTTCTGCTTGAATGCGGGTGTGTAGGGGAAGGTCTGGGAAGGGTAACATCAACGCTAGGGAGCCTTTGCTTAACTGGGTTCTGGCTGAGGAACTGGATTTAAGTCACCAGTTTAGGGATCTAAAGTAAATAGTTATTTAGGTTGCTCTACTATTAATGGTAGTAGTTTCAATAGAATGTTAATAAGAACCCACTGCGTGGCTTCCGAAACCCCGTTTCCGGAGACCTAACAATCTGAGCGCTGAGGAATTTTAGGCGGGGCTTGGATTTACGCGAGGTTCCCCGTAATTCAATAGCCCCGTAATCATAAGGGTACCCTTTTCCTACTGTTTGGTTTCAGTAATAGTAGTAATAAGGGTTTAGGGCTTAGCGTTTAGGTACTGTTTGGCTTCAGTAATAAGGGAACCCAAAAAGAGAGAGTCAAAAGGGTTCTACTGACTCCGGCGACTACGGGGGAAGCTACAGGACACAACGTGCTTAGTGGAGGTTTGGGGTGTCTTGGGCTCACTTGACACTGAAGCCACAAACACCAAGCCCATGCCCGAACACCAATCTATGCACCCTGGTGCCTTGCTCACCTAAGCCCCCAACTTCACAAAATGGATGAAGGTATAATCCTGAAACCCACGCGGTCCTCCCATGGCCCATTCCTAGACCCGGACACCCCAAACCTTCAGCCCTAAATCAACAATGAGGGAGCCCACCTCCGGCGGCAAATGTGTCGGTCTTGACAGTGGCTTCTCGCCATCTGGCGCCTCTTTCAGACATGACATGGCTTCTGGATTTAGGCTTGGGGTTTAAGGCTTAAGCCTTAAGGGTTGTTGGATTTGGGCGTTAGGCTGTGGGGTTTCAGGGTTTAGGTTTCGGAGTTGGGATTAGGATTTGGTCTTAGAGGTCGTTTCGAAAGGAGAAGGGTTCCCGATAACATGAAGCAACCCCAAGCCTAAGGAATAACAGTATCACTAACTATTCCGCCGACTGTTACATTAAACTCTGAGTCTTGGATAAGACCTCGCAGTTCGTCCCTCCTGGCGCAGAAATCCTCAGCCACAGCACACCTGAACCTCGAACCTTCGAGTTTTGAACTCCAAGTAAACCATAAACTTCCCTAAACGCAAACGGCGAGTGGCATCGAAGTGCTAACCACGCTTCTGTAAACGTCAACCTGGGATTCCTCAATCCCTGGGGAAGCAGCTAAAAGAAGTTCGGTCTCGTAGATAGTGACGTCCAGATAAGGATTCTAGAGAACCTAAAGATCTGGTCGTCCAACTCACCGGTGCGTTCACGTCGTACTGCTTGCTTCACGCAGAGCGTGCCGTGTAAGCGGCGTACTTGGAAACCGTTGACTCCGGTTCAGGGTTTAGGGTTTAGGGATTCCTAAACCCTAAACCCTGAACCTGACAGGGTTCAAGCTCCGGCTCAGTGAAGCTCGGGGGGCCGTCTGATGGCACGGCGGAGGGGACTGCGAGAACATCGGTCGCCTGCTTCCAACACCTGAAACCCAACACATTGGTTTTTCAATTTACTGCAAAATCCTAGCCTAATTCTTCAGGCTCACGCAAAAGCCAACAAACTCCCCAAACCCTACAAGACCCCTTAAAATCTCCGATCCTGAAATCGCTAATTATCGTTCTTACACTGCCCCTGAAAGTGCTCAAATATCCTCGACCCAGTTAAAACCGCTGCACCTCAAACCCCAAAACCCCTAAACCCCTAAACCCCCAAACCCCCAAACCCCTAAACCCTCAACCCATAGACCCCTAAATCCTAAAGCCCTAAACCCTAAACCTTAAACCCCAAAGGCCTCTGCTTCGGCCTCTCTCACAGCCGAAGGTCCAGGTGTCAGCGTCCGCTTCCGCGCGGCGTTCCGGTCGGGAGGCGGCGTCATGTGGGTGTGCAAAGGGTTCTTTGAGGCTTCTTTGAGGTTCTATAAGGGTTCTATCAAGATTCTTCAAGGGTTCTTTGAGGTTCTATAAAGCTTCTTGAAGGGGGGGGTTAAGGCTTTTAGGTTTTGAGGGTTTGGGATTCAAGGGGTTACGGTTTGGGGCGTGGGGTTTAGCCTTGTAATTTAGGGGGTGCGGGGCTTGGGGCGTTGGGTT